AAAAAGACAGAGTTTAATCCTGATTGCTGCTTTTATAAAAGAAGATGTGGCTTTGTCTGCCTTAAAGGAACAGCACAGAGGAGTTACAGGGCACCTTCTGAGAGGACTGGTGTGTTGGTATCGCTCTTGTGGACCTGTGAGTAGGTGGAGGACATCTTTCTGCAGACACTTGGATGCTGTTAACATTAAGGGAAAAAAGGGAAGGTTTCTCATCCTCAGAGGGGACGGCATTAGCTGCAGGGTCAGAAGGAAAGAGGAAACCAATGCAAGCACTGAGGTTTGAGAGGGATGCTCTTCTCTTGGAGAAAGTACAGCATGGGATGCCGTGGGAGGCGGACAGCCTAGCCTGTTCTAGAAAGTTCATCGTGGCGGGTAGACGTCATGAAGCTAAAAAGAGAAACTAAGTAATGCTGGGTTTCTCTCTTGCTTTGTGGACTGTGTATAATATAAGCTAGGCAAAAAGTGGAACAGAAAATTGCAAATGAGTCAGTAAGTTGAAGGGAGATGTTACCTAAGGAAGGCTTGGTGGGGTTTTTTTGGTCAACTTCTGTTTATCCTAGATAGCATGGAGGAGTGGCTTTTGTGGATGGGAACGGCCTGCAGAGGGGGCATGTCGAGAGGTACCCGAGTCTTCACCCAGAGCAGCCCTCCGTGTCCTTTATGCCGAGGCCTGGCAGAATATGGTCTCCTGAACTTTTCTTTTTCCACCTTGAAAAACTATCGATCAGCTCTTCCCCTAAAGGGTGCACAGGTTCTTATACACACAGCTACGACTGAGGTATCTGAAAGCCATAAAAAGTTCCTAAGACTTTTTTTTTTTTAAGGATTTGCAGCTGTAGATTGGGTTGCACAAAAAATGGAGATTGGGGTATTGTATAAGAGGAGAGCCGTCTGCCCCGTGGGCACAAGTTAGGAAAGCGTGTAGAAGCGGCGGACAGATGGATAGGCTGGTCATCAGGGTGCAGGTGTTTGGTTGGGTCTGATATTTTTTTGTAGCTTTATGTGGCTTCCTTTGACTGCCAAATCCCCTGAAAACCTTTTAAGAGGAACCATGCTGTGTAGAGCCCGTTGCATCCTGGCGGAGCCTTGGGATTCTGGTGTCTGACACGGAGTGAGCCTTGCTAATTGTGTGGGTGTGGGGATGGGTGGATCGCTGGGCGGTCGGAGAGAGATTCATCCGTGCAGGAGCTCTGTAGGATCTGTGATCTGTGAGGTGTCAGGCAAATGTTTCGCCTGTGGTACAGTCTTGTCCGGTTCATGTCAGCTGTGCACCTGGCCTGGCCGCAAAGCAAAAAATAGCATTTGATGTCTACCAAACACCGAATTTGTTCCCTGGTGAGCAGGTCATCTCTTCCATTAGCGCCTGGGACCGCTGCAGCGTGTGTTCTGCTCTACCGGCTGTGGTTTGGAAAACCACACTGCCAGCTCAAGAGAGATGCTGGGTTCGGCGAGCTAACCAGCCCGGACTGGCAAGAAGGGACTATCCCAGCCAACACTTTCCTTCAGCCATCAGTGTACAGTTTTGGCACGCTGCGTTGCTCTCCTCCCCAGATAAAAGCTTGCTGTCTGTCTTTACTTAGTGTTTTTGTATGGCAAGCAGCACAGAGAACGTGAGGAATTGGGCTGCGTTTGGCGTGCGTGTTCAAGGCTGTCGTTCACATCTTCACATGTGGTATCAGCCAGGTAAGCGCTGGCTGAAAGAGGGCAGCACCAAAGCGCGGTCCTGTCACGCTCCGCGGTTGGAGGAGTACTTCGCCACCCACCCGGGGAGTTGCGTCTTAGAAATGCACCGACCTTCTTAGTAAGTTTGCCTTCTTAGCTAACACAAGTGGAAACGATTAAGATACTCTAAAGCTATTTTGGAGTTGATGGTCGTTTCTGGGAGAGCATCAGTAACCCAGGAAGAAGTAAACTTTGTATCTGCTTAATAGTCATCTTGTGCAGTGGGTTAGCTTGTTTACTTTTAAACATTTTTTTCTTTAAAAGGGCCCTTTGTTTTTAATGTAACTTTGTTTTCTGCCTTCTGACATTAAGCGATCTTCAGTGTGATGCAAACAGACGTGATGTATTAACTGTCACGCAGTGGGTAGTCAGCTGTTTAATTTAACACGTGTGTTATTCATGGCTTTGGGGGCAATGTTCACAAGGAGCTGGTGTCCAGGGTTTTTTATTTATTGTTGTGTTGGGAATTAGTGGCAATGGCAGCTCCAACTGTGTAGGAAGACGGGTTGGTTATGGCATACCAGTAAGGCCTCACTTGTAGCCCTCTGCTGAACAGCCTGAAATTTCTTGGGTTTGTTTCCAATCTGAGTGGAAAGGACAAACAGCGTATGTGTAGTGGAAAGTTTGAGTAAACTTTGCAAAAACATCCTCCTGCGTTTTGGCTTTGTGCTGGCCCTGGAATTTCAAAGCAGAACCTGGCTTGGGAGCTTGTGGCAAAGCACAAAGGCAGGGTGGGCACTGCGGGCACGAGTCTGGAGCGCTGGCTAAGGAATGTGTCTGGGGCCAGCGGAAGATGAGCTGACCAGCTGGAGGTGGAGTTAAATTGCATTTGAGAGGCAGAGCTGAGCTGGACAGGGAAATTGCTATACCTGCCGCTTTCAAATTCAGCGTTGATCTGAAAAATATGGGTCCTGATACGGTGCGATTAAGCTTGTTCTCATAGGTGTGTACAAGGAGGGGAAAATTCTTGTGGATCTTCCTGTCAATATGGGAAGGGTGTTAGGAAAAAAATGTATCTTTCAATTATTTTTCAACTGGAGGTCAGCATTTATTTGCTCTCCTTGCGGGAAGGAAAGGGATCTCCTCACAGGTCTAGAGAGAAGAAAGTTGATAAATGGAGGAGGGAAGTAGACCATAATTTTATTTCCCAGCTGTATCTCAAATATTTGTTTATCGTTAGACTACCGAAGGCTTATTAAGGCAATGTCCTGAACCCTTAAGTAGTGTGTCTTTCCTTTAGTGTTCCTGTTATGGCGGCTGCAAGTCCTTCGTATCTGGGGGGTGTCCACGGATGCGCAGAGGGAAAGCCATGGGGAGGGTGAAGGTGGGGTTGCTGGATGAAGCTGAAGACCATTGTCACTTGTATGTTTAGGCTCCTGTCTACTGCGAGGATTGAATTTGCTTCTAACTCTTCTTTTTGTAGGAAAGGCATAGGAAGGAATAGTAGTATGGTTGCAATTTAGTCATTATTAAAGTGGTTAATTGCTGTAAATACAAGGAGGACTCCTGGTTTCTTGTTTGAGGACTCCTGGTTTCCTGTTTGATTCCCCCCCCCAGCTCATTATCACTGCAAAAATTTGTTAAAATCACACCTCTGGTCTGGTCGGTGGCGCTGTGCAGATGAGTTCCTCTGTAAGCCGTGGTTGCTCCTTGCCGTGGCGCTTCCTGCCCTGTCGCACCTCTCCTTTCTCTGGACACTTAAGCATCTTTGAAACCTCAGGGTAAGAATTGGCCAGAGGGCTCAAAACTTAGCGGGGCGATGACTCGTCAGATCGCTGCTCATCTGCCGAAGAGCAGGAGGCTCCACAAGCAGGGCAGGCTGGGGAACCGCAGGATTTCTCCTTGGTTTTTAGACCTGCTCCAGGCAGAGGGAATACTGCCAGCAGCGGCAGCCTCCCCTGGAGGCGGCTCTGTTCCTGGCTGATATTCTTGCCTAGCACCAGTTGCGGTGGCTGTAGGATACCTGTATGTCAACATTGACAGCGCAGCTTCTGTACCTTGTTGTGCTTTACCTTGGGGCTGTGAAGAAATGTCCAAGAAAACTGGCTTTGTTGGAGTTGTAATTTGGCTTCCTGATAGGAATCCTTAAAAAAAAAAAAAAGGCTAGTTGCCCTAAAATTTTCTTGAAAGACAAAGCATATGCAGGATACGATGAGCGATTTGCTGTGGCTGGTGGCTCTGCCTTCGCAGGAGCGTGGAGCAATCTGCTTGTTCCCACAGAGACTCTCATAATTAGCACTTGTGCTGCAGCGGGCTGAGCCGCCGTCGTTGTTACAAGTATGCTTTGTGCTTGCCTTTCTGCTGGAGAGCACGCTGAAGGAGAAGGGAAAGATGCTTTTCTTGCCTCTCTCATAATTTCTCCACTTAAATTACCATCGGTAAGCATATGGCAACTTAAGCAGGCTGCCGCGGGGTAAATTGGTATGCGTTTACACTGTGCTAGCTTTTCTGATAATTGTGCCTGTACGTGTTCTATCCATAGAAATTATGAAGCAGCTTATATCTGTTTACGCTGACAGTTAATTACCGCTTAGGTGGAATGGGTAGAGCATAGCCACAGATGCTTACAACAGAGTAGCTAATGCTACTTCATAACGCTGTCTGCGCCACGGCGGCTTGCCTGTGCACCCGTTCATCCCAACGGCCAGCATAACTTAACCTTCAGGCCGCTCGTGGTAGGGGAAGCGGGGGATGTACTTGGTGAGAAGGATCCTTCTGTTGTGCTAACGCAGGAGGCTGCTCTTGTTGGGAACCCAAGGAAAGGTGGCCTTTCTAGTGATTGCAATTTCAAAGCTTTCGAGTTGTTTCCTCAAAAGATCGGGGGTACTGGGTAGACTGGTAATTTGCATCTAGAGTTCGTAACATTAGTAGGCAGTAGTAGTAGTAGTTCCCCAGCAGTTATTGTTGGGCATCTCGTGGCAGTCCATGCCATGTCTCCTGCACGCGCCTGTGCTATTGTTTGTGCTGTTTTCCAATGAATCAGACTGGAAAAGCTGAAAAGTAACTTAGCAATGCCAGGAAACGTTCAGCCGTGTGTATTCCCCTTCGGTATGCCAGTGCCGAACAGGACAGGCATTTCAGCTGCAGAAAGCTCCAGTGCATCCTGGTCTGAAAACCGATCGGATTTAATGCCGCATCTCCATGGTAGACGCAGGGTCAAGCTGTCCTGTAGCGATCCTCAGCCTTTGCGCGCTCCGGTAGCAAGGGTTTAATTGAATTTGTTTGTCTTGTGCTACTGTGATTACGCTCTCCACTGCATAAACCCCTGTTTTCCTGAGCTGCCGCTTCTACAGAGAGTACGAAGCGCGTTTAGAGAGGTACAGCGAACGAATATGGACGTGCAAAAGCACAGGAAGCAGCCAGCTGACGCACAAAGAGGCTTGGGAGGAGGAGCAAGAAGTTGCCGAGCTGTAAGTACCAGTGAAGAAATTGGTATCTGCCTGTCTTTGGGCACTGGGGCAGAAAAGCGGACTCGGGAGGGATACGTGGTTGCTAGTTTATGAGGTGAGGTAAGTAGCTTTTTACTGGCTGTAAGTAGATCTGGAGTTGAAAGCAAATTAAGTCCAAATTTGATGCCATCACTAACGCAGTTGAGTAATGTACTTATTTAGTGCCGTATCTCGGTATTACTTGAACCAAAATAGTTCAGCATATGGTACTTGGCATATTTTAAAGCCCCTTGAGTAATGGGAAATTTTCAGAGGGGAAAAAAATAAATCTTGAAGGAGCTAAAGTAAAAATACAGTAAAAAGAGGCTGTTGAAGCGTTTCACGTCAGCCAGGTCCACAGCTGTGATTACTTTTTCCACATCTGCATTGGGATCAGTTGTTGTACTAAATAAAAAAAAGTTATTTTTGAGTGAGATTTTGGGAATCTGCTCTGCTCGAAGCAATAAAGAACAAAGGGAAACCAGCAAGTCATGGCTCTGGTCAGACCAGCAGCGGTGTCCCTGCCCTCCCCCTCTAGCACACAGCACAGGCCCCAAATGCCTGGCTGAGATTCAGCGTGACCCTGGCCATCGAAGTGAACGTGCTGTAAAGGTGCAAGCCCTTGGCTCGACCAACATCGAGAAGTTACTTTGCGATTACCAAATTGTAGGAATTACGCCAAACAAATAGCATGTTTCTCAGGTCTGTGAACTGACGACTTGGACTTGGACTTCTGTGACCTTTTTGTCCTGGATTTAAACTGGGGACGTTGTCAGCAGTGCTACCCAAGAGGTGACATTTTTCTGCTGCCCCTCTTTCACGAAGAATCCCCGTTTCTCATTCATTGGCAAAAGAGTTAATAGCCTTAGCCTAAGGAGAAATTCCCCATCCTTTGAGGTTAATCGCATCCTTAAAGGCAACAAATAGGAAACCTGTTTGCTAATGGTCCTAATTTCAATGAGGGCTGAAGTGCTACTGTCTTCAGTCTTTCTTCCCTAGTGTTCTTGTTTGAGTGGAGGGTGCAGAGCCAGCTCCATAAATTCATAATCCTGAGTCAAAAACCACTGGTCTGGTGTTGCTTACTTTTGGTTAACAGTGTTGGATTGGTTGGCCACTTCTGAAACCATTAAGAAATGTAAATGAAATATAAATGGAAGATTTCTCAATAGCAAATTTAGCTATAGTCTCTAAATGCGGGGAAAAAAAGACTCTGTGAAATGAGATTTTGGTCTTGTCTCTTTGAAACGGGATTAAAAGCTTCCCAGGCAGTTTGCTGGCTGCTTTAATACCTGACATTAGTCTGAATAGAAAAAGTTCATTTAGGCAGTTTGCTAAAGGGATAAATTTGTTCGTGGCAGTTGTAGAACAGTAAATAAAGCTGAGGATTGTCAGCAATGCATTCCTGAGTCTGGGAAGCTAAAAGGGTTTTGGAAAAATGGAGTATTTTTTTCCTCCTTACAGTGACTTGAAATGGACTTTACTTTTTAGCAGAAAGCTTTATGCAATATTTCTCCGTACTCCTATCAGCAAACTGACCTGATCTTTTAGAAAGGAAATCGGTCAAGTAAATTTGTAACAGTCCTTTCTCTTCTTTGAATGAAAAAGTTTGAAGATCATGACGTGGTGAAACACACCAACTGTTTTGTCTCTGGAAAGATAATTTGATTGTGTAAGCCTGCCTCTCTCTTCTTTACTGTGTTAGCAGCCTGTTTGGGAAGAAAGAAATGCTAAATGTTGATCGGCATCGTCTTATTGTTGGAAGCAAAAATTTTAAAGTAACAAGCCCCAGAATAATGACACGGTCTTGGTATATATTTAATATCTCCTAGGGAGGCAGTAATAACCAGCAAGAAAGGGTTCACCGTCAATGCCGCTTTTCCAGAGCGCTTTATGGTGTTCCTTCTGGGAAGGACAAGCACAATTTGTATTGTCATGCCAATTAACGCTTTGGGTGGGTGCTGGGGGGAGGGCAGCAAAAAGCCCTCGGATGTTTGCATGCTAATGTGGCATCTGCCTCAAACATTGTCCTGGCTGTTAATGTTCCGGGAATTGCGAAATGGGAGGCTACTTTGCATTTTTGGCTTTTATTCCCTGAATAATGAAAACTTCTCATGTGCTTGCTCAGCTTGAAGGAGGAGTTCCCCATCTGGTATGAGAAACTGGTACTGGAAATAGTCCACCACAACACTGTGTCTTTGGAAAAGTTGGTGGATGCAGCTTGGCTGGAGATCATGACCAAATTTGCAGTGGGAGAAGAGTGTGACTTTGAGGTAAGGATCCGTTTTCCATTTTATCCCACGCTTTTGCACAGAGCTAGTTTTGGATAGCTAAAGGAGGAGATGGGAAGACTATGTTAGCCACTTACGTTATCAGAAAGACGGGGAGAACTTCTTTTCCGTAGAATCCCAGTGGCAGCACCTGCTTTTGAATGCAAAACGGTTCCATAAGCAGAAGCACGTGGATGGCCCGTACTGATGGCAAGAGAAAAAAGACTGATCTATGTGTGTGCGTGGGGAAATAGAGATATATTTGTTATACTGCTTAAATATGTGATGGTCTATGTATGTATTTTTCTATATATTTAAATATATATTTTAATTAAAAGAAGTTGGACGTTATAATCTGCTGTAATCTTTTCACCTAACGTTCCCAGAAGGAGTAGTAGTCTTAAACTAATGTAGCTTGAGGTTAACTGCTTACAAATCTCTAACGATGCTCTAATGATGAGAAAATTCCCTCCAAAACTGGGAATGATGGGGAAAACTCAAACCTCTTAAAAATAAGGGGAAGTTATAAAATGTTCTCTGTTAGCAATCTGTTTAGGACATATTCTCTCAACTGGGGCTCCTGAGAGAGCACGCTTGCTCCTCGCACGCACGCTCTTTCCTTAGGCTGAGAAAGCAGCGTTATTAAACACTGGAAAAACTTGTGGGTTGGCAGTTCTCTCTTAGCAATTTGTACAGAACTTCCAGGTAGGAGTAGTAAAAAGAAACCCTGTAATTGTTTCATGAGAGGGATGATGAACTTCTCTCAAGGAGGATGTCAATTAAGTGTTTTGCCAAATCACGGTTTGTAGGTCGTCTTAGCTGCTTTTTTCCTTCCTCGTAGTGTTAAAGCTCACTAGTTCAAGTGCCTTGCTCGGGGTCGGTTTTCATCAATATTTCCGTGCAGGTTGGTAAGACGAAAGTGTTGCCTGTGAAAGTTGTGAAAATACATCCCCTGGAGAAAGCTGATGAAGAGGCCTCGGAAAAGAAATCTGACGGAGCCTGCGATTCCCCATCCAGCGACAAGGAGAACTCCAGCCAGGCAGCCCAGGACAACCAGAAGGAAGCTATCCTGAAGGAGGATGACAACAGGAGGGAAAGCATGAGTAAGTAGTGAGACAGCGTGCCAGTAGGTAGCACCTGGAGGCGAGCATTAGCATTTATGTACGTCTTGGGCCTGGGCGGTGAGTGTTGTACGTGCTGTTTAGACAGCGTTACGTGGTGAAAACCCTGACGTTGTCATTGTTAGTGGCGCAGCTCTGGTGGCATCAGCGCTGCTGGCTTTCCAATGTTCTTGCCTGTTTTAAAGCAGAAAATGTGCTGTCATTCTAAGGTGTAATACCGAAAGCTATACATGAAACATATAAGCTCCGAAAGTATAACAAGTGTATTAAAAAAAAAAAAAAGGGGGCGGGGAACAGCAAAGGTTCATGCAGAAACAAAAAGTTCTGCTGCGATGTTCATCCTCAGAACAAACACATCTCTATTTCAAAACCCCTTTCTGCAGTCAGAGAAAAGCTGGCTTTCCAATGTTCTTGCCTGTTTTAAAGCAGAAAATGTGCTGTCATTCTAAGGTGTAATACCGAAAGCTATACATGAAACATATAAGCTCCGAAAGTATAACAAGTGTATTAAAAAAAAAAAAAAGGGGGCGGGGAACAGCAAAGGTTCATGCAGAATCATAAAGTTCTGCTGCGATGTTCATCCTCAGAACAAACATCTCTACTTCTAAAGCCCCTTCTGCAGTCAGAGACAAGCTCTAATTCTCTTTCATGTCCCCAGTTGACATAAAAAAAAATAACGGTGTTTTTCTTTTCGGTTATCCCCTTTCCAATTTTCAAATGCTGAGACAAAATTCATGTAGAAAAATGCATATTAATTTTTTCCTAAGGTTTCAAAATAAAGCAGGCTTTGAAACATTGTTCCCCTCTTTCATATCTGTTCCTCCTTGCTGCAGAACTAAACAGTGGATGTCCAAGGCTTTTCTTGACTCTGAGAAGGTACTGTTGAAAGAGAAAAATAAAAAATTAGTTTCATGTCCTGTGTAACTTCTTTAAAAATCGAATTATAAGATTCTTTAAAAGAAATTTCAAAAAGTGTTTTCAACCAAACAAAAAAGCCAACCCCACAGTGTAGCTCTAATCTGGATAGCTTAATTTTAAAGGCACATAAATGTAATAAACTGTTTACATTTGTAAATAGCCGCTCCGGCATCTGGAGAAGGTGTATATAATAACCTCCTCTAACCGGGAGAAGAGGAAACTCAGAAAACAGCCCAGCAAGGTAATAGCAAAGTCAGGAGTGGAAAATCAGTTCTACCAAGCTTTGGTCCCAAGCTTAATAATTGTCAGCTGTTTCTGATTGGTACTGGAAAAAGTTAGGAGCTGTTTTGGTTTCATTGCAGTGCTCTGTATAACCGGGAAGGAAAAAAAAGTGTTGCAGAAATGATCTGGCCTTATAGTCATCCTTTGAAACAGGAGTAGTGCTTGGAGAGGGACTCATGGCGTGGTTTTGTTTTTATATTGTGGTAGTTCTCTCAAACTACCTCGTACAAGGCATGGGAAGTACCGTTTACTTCAAAAAGGCCACTGACCAAATTTTCAGCAGCATTTTTGGGCTACCATAATGTTTTGTTCGCTGGCGTGCAGTACTCTAACCAGCTGTGTGCAGCTGGGCTCCTACCGACGCTGCCAGCAGAGCGCCCTGAGACTGGGAGCACGCTGCAGGAATGGGGATTCCTGCGCCTTGCTCGGTCTCCGACTCAGCTGTGGTTTGTCTGGCCTGTGGTGAGTCACGCCTATGAACTGGGACTGCCGTAGGGCCCTTCTGTAAAAGATGAACCTCAACGTTTTCAAATCAAAGATGCTAGCAGCGTCATAACATAATCAGTAAAAGCAGTAAGCACTCGTTCTTTTAACTCTCCTCCTTGTACGTACACATTTATTAAAAGGTTGTTTTATTGCTAGTGCTTTTATATTCTGGGCTATAATAGGACATAGGCGCATAGTAAACTCATTACTGAATCTATAGTCCAGAGTCCATTAAAATAACTAGATAGCATTTGTTACATTTACGCAGCATACTACAGAAGTAGTTAAAGACTTGCTTCCGTTTAGTGGGTTCAGGCCCTGAATTGCACCGGCAGGAGGCTGTCTGCGGTATCTGGAGGTACCCAGCCCCACTTATTTTGACTTATTCTTTCTAATAATTCGCATACTTGACCACTGGTAATACGGGTTGAGGTCACCGCACAAGAGCGAGCGTTTAGAAGCAATAACAGGCTCTGCGTAACAGTGCGTGACGTAAGAGCTGCATCTTTCTGTGCGCACACGAGGGGGCAGAGTTAACCTTAGCATTTTTACTAAGACTTATGTCAAACTTGCTGATTTTGTTGGAGGAAAAAAGAGGCAGAGAAAGAGAGCTTCGGTCTCGCTGATTAGGAGTCTACTGTGCTTCAGAAGCTAAAACTAAGGCTTTATACCAGCTTTATTGCATCGTACGTGCAGCCTGAAGCGGCTTTGTATTTTTAGTTGCTTAGGGAGTGAACTCTGGAAAATCTGCAGGAGTGAGAGGAAAGGCTGGTTTTTTTCCTGGAAATGGATGGTGAGCTACTGCAGGCAGGTTCTGTAGCTCGAGCTGCGCTTGGAACTAATACCGCTTTGGAAAATCCAAAATAAGTGGTGAATAGACTGAGACGACAGCATACGGATGCTTTGTGAGGTTCCGGGAGCGTAGTGACTGCAAGTTCTATGACAGTGCAATGCAACAACAAATGAAGCATGCTTTTTGTGAAGTAACTTTAGGAAGGCATGTATAGCGATTTCTTCTTCCCCACCCCTGAGTATCCAGGTGCTGTTTGATGGAATCCAACGTCGTCATCCCGATTTCTGGAGTCTAGAAAGTAAATCACAAAAGCAGAGGTCGCGTACAGCCCTGCAGAGGCCGTGGTGTAACTGAGTCCTTCAGAGTCAGAGCCAGGCCTAAGCCACACATTGTTATTTATTAAATAGAAACTTGCTACGCGTGATACGCCCATCCAGCAAAGATAAGGTTCAGCTGCTTAAAAGGCATTGAGGCGGATCGCTGAAAGCAGATCCCTTACAGAGCTTGAGGTGTCTTGTACACGACTTCCATTGTGCTGTTGCGCAGAAAAACATAGTTCAGTATTTGTGAGCTTATCAAGATCTTCTTAATACAAATGTGGAACCAAAGCAGGCAAAATTTACGTCTCCGCGTGATTTGTGATGAGAGGATTAGTTTCCTTTCACACATACCATCGCCGTTAGGAAATTCAGGGGTTTTTATTTTAAAGAAAAACTTCTACAACGAGGGATGCTTGGAGCAGAGGGTTCTGCATTGCATTATCTGAAACGTAGTGCTAACGTGGGAAGTAGCCGCACATTTATGCGCGTGGTGAGCCCGTAGCATCTGTGATCTGTTCCCGAACCAAGGTGACTGATTTTGGAAGGCGGGGGTGGGCAGAACTCGGTTTTATACCATGTAAGCTATAATGTTGCTGAAGCTTAAATGCTATAGGGCTTACAACGTGACATATATATGTATATTTAAAAGTCTGACTTAGGTCTAGCATTGTATTCTGCATATACTTAGTAGATAATTATTCTCATCTATCATGCTGACTGTAGTGTTTTCTTTAGTCATAGCCACAAACATAAAAACATTTGGGGATCGCTTTCTTCAGTAAGCTGGGATTTTGTCTTTAATGATTAACATTTGCAACCTGAAATATAGAAATAATAGGCTCAACGGCAGCTGGCAAGAAGATGTGATGCCTGTGTGCTCTTTCAGTTACATCTCTCTTGAGAATAAAAAGACTGGTTGTGTAAGTGTGCTTAACATCTCCAGCTACACTAGCCATACACACAGGGCTCATAGCTGTGAAACGCTTAACGGCCGCCAAAGTTAAATGATTTTAAAAGTTACTTTAATTTAGAGTCGGTAATTCCCGCAGTAGAATGCTTTCAAATATGGCATGGCAGAGACAGCTAGGGCTCTCGGCAGGAGCTCCCTAAGCAGGTTACTGGTTCAGTTATGAAACCTGTCTCCCCTTCGTGGATTTTATAGACGTTTTCTCCCTTTGCACAGGGAGTTGCAGCTTACCGTCTGTAGAGAGATAGGTTTAAATACTGCAAGTGGTCCTTTACGCTCCTTGAAGATAGGTGTTACCTCCTACTTCAGAGCTGGTTAGGGACTCCCTTCCCAGCCTGCATCTTCAGGATATTTCCAAAACCCGATTTGGGATTTTTTTCCTGATGTTCTAGTTTAACCGAACACTGTATAGATAGCAAGGGGTGGGGTGCTCAGTCCAGCAATGGACTGGATTCTTTAACTTTTCTTTTGACTCTAATACTAAGACACTCAGTGTTTTACCTTGCTTTATCAGACGATCGAGCACGTAGGTCTCCTAGGAAGCTTCCCACTTCTTTGAAGAAGGAAGAAAGGAAGTGGGTTCCACCTAAATTCCTGCCACACAAATACGATGTCAAGCTGAAAAATGAAGATAAGGTGAGTTGTCCACTTGAATCCTTTCTATTATAACATGAATACACAAGTTTAATTGAATAATCACTATCAGTGCATCTGTACAGCACGATGTAGCACTTTCTGCCGGAGTCGTGGCATTGGAAGCAGGATGGCCGTAGCTGCTGGTGACACTGAGTCACGGTGCTGCAGTAGCTTTAGAGTGGCTGCTGGTAACTGGTTAATCTCCAGTCAGGCAGTTAATGACAATTGGTCCGAGGTGGACTAGTTAAATCATGAGCGGCAGTTGCTGCTCTCGTTCTAACTGAGCTTCTCCGAGAGTCGTAGGTAGCTGCGCTTCGGGAGGCTCTGCGTAGCCGCAGCACTGCTGCGTGCTTTCGTCATCTGTTTGCTAATTTGGCAAGAGAGGCAGTGCTGACCTCAGTTTAATGAGTACCGCTTGCAGAGTTACTCCTCTGGTCTCAGGAAAACAAACAAACAAACAAACAAACAAACAAAAAACATTAATATGTAAAAGCTTTTAAGTTAGTAGCAAGCACAATCCAGAGGGAGGTCAAAGATTAAAGCAGTGGGCTTTTTGGCAAGAAATCTGCAACATAAACTCATGGTTTTTATTTTTTTGGCTAACTGAATCTCCTACCAGTCTCTGTTGTGCATCTCGGCTCTGCAAGTGCTGTTTGCATCGTTTTGAGTCTTTGCAAGAGAGCTTCGAAAGAGTGAAGAGTTTGTGGACATGAAGCAGTACAATGGTCCTTGCTCTTTAAATGATACGTATTTATAACGTGGTTAGAAGTTAAATGTTAACAGTATGTCTGTTTGTTATCTCCAAGATCATCAGCAACGTACCAGCAGATAGCTTGGTCCGTACAGAGCGGCCTCCCAACAAGGAGATCCTGAGGTACTTCATCCGTCATAACGCGCTACGGGCTGGCACGTGTGAGAATGCCCCGTGGGTAGTGGAGGATGAGCTAGTGAAGAAATACTCTCTCCCCAGTAAATTTAGTGACTTCTTGCTTGACCCACATAAGGTAAGAATTCCTAAAAAGTACCTCCTTCGCTTTCTCACCCGTTCCCCACCCTTAAACGGTCTTGGCAGAGACTTCAGTGTGGCCGTTGGGTTTTGGTGCTCCCAAGCGTACATCGCCTTCGAGAGATGCAGAGCAGGAAGGCCCACTCTTTTGAAGATTGACCCTTTGTGAGGTGGCACAGCTTGAATGTCTGAAACAGTGGCCTGCTGTGAAAATTTGAGGTGTAACTGCCTTTTCTTGTTTGTTTTTTTTTTTTCCCAATAGTTTGCATTACTTGTCTACAAGTAAAGACACGATTTCCTGGTGTAAGACAAATGGAAGAGCTATAGTTCTTGCCTGGTAATGTCAGTGATTGGGCCCTTTTCATGGTTGCAATGCAAGAGCTGAATGTGTTTGACTTCATCGTGCTTGGTTCTTGTATGGTGCTGGATTGAGTGATGGCAGATACCACAAATTTTGTGCTGAATACTCTTAGGGGACGGGGTTTTTCCCAGCCCTTTGTAATGACCAGCCAAGTATACTGTTAACCAAGTAAATGCCATAGCGTGAAATCCGCTCTCTTAAAGTCCATCTTTGGGTGTAGAAAGCACTGTTTTGTTCATTTAGTAAACTGACTTTTTCATGGACTCGGTCTTTGTCAAGCATCGTTCTAAAACTGGAAGAGAAATATTTGCTGTGTCCCTTTTTCCTCATCAGGAGGAGAACATCCTTTTCTAGCAAGTTTCTATGGACTCTTCTGGACGCTTGTAAATTTGCTTAAAGGGAAAAATAAATTCTTCATATTTGAGCTGCGTTTACCCTTGCTGTAGAATTTGGGGTCGCTGCCTTAATAGAAATTAAAGTATTTGCTGGTGGGGTACAAATTCCTTTAGTCAGCACACTGATGGAGGGAGGCGTAGCCTTAGTGAGAGAGAAAATACGCAACTGTAACATCTTCCATTTGACTTAGAGAAGCCCTTAGCTTTAAGGGTGGTGCTTTCCGTAGTGTGTTTCCCACTTGGCGTAGGGAATGATTTTTGCGTTGAATTTTTACATTTTGAGAAGCGGCTGGAGAATTTATTACTCCAGAATTAGTGTTCTGACAAAATAACTTTGTATAAGTGACAGTCGGAAATACAGTGTAAGTTGTAGATCTAATATTTGTGAATTTGTAGTTACCATGATTCATATCAATGCTGGATGCTTTCGGCTTAGGTAATTCTCTTCAGCCAAGACTTTAACACAGAATTTTTGTGGAATGAAGTTATGCAGACATTGGATTTGGTGATTGTGCAATCTTCAGTAAAAAATTCTCCAACGGGCTAATGAATGCTCTTAAACTAAAGCCTTCAAGAGTGAACGTTCCTGAGCCAGAAAATCTGAATATTCCTACGGCAGTCTTAACTGGATCAGATTTGTGTATGTCTGTTCTTAAATAAATGCTGCGTAGATGCTTGCGCCTCTTGCTGTGCTTACCACTGTGGAATTTTTTTATCGCTAAGGAATCTCAAATTCTCAGCCCCTGTTTTCTGGTAATTTTATCCATAACCGAAAGGTTATATCCTTGTATTTTATTTTTCACTTCTTGAAATATATTCGTATTCTGGGTGCATCCTGAAACTGAATTTGAGATGCTGAGATAGTCCTGAAATCGGTCTCTCTTTGGCTCTGGGCTAAACTGTTCTGTGCCAAAAGGATGCTGTCAGGTAGGTTATTTCAGCAGCTTCAAAGCAGTCAGATATTCAATCGCATTACTTCGGGATTGAACCCTGTCTCGCCTTCCTGCCAGACGCTTTCAGGCAGTTCAGAAACCAGTCTCTGAGCGCCTGTCACCCATCGCTTCTGTGCTCCTTCCGTTTCCTCTGGGTGGGGCCCAGCACCGAACCCTCCATGACTCATAAGAAATCTCTCAGCAGAAGAATAGGTTTTGAAATTAATGTCAGCATTTGCCAGGCAAACCCCTCCCCACAACCTTTTAAGCAGAAACGAAGTGGTTTTATGTAATGTAGTAGGAAACACTTAAAATTATTTGTAGCGTTTCAGTTTCTGAAGTTAAATGTGAACTTTCTGGAATGAGCTAATGACCTCATAACCAACATAGTGACTACAATGCAGAATATTGAAAGCTATTGCAGAAGCCCGTTACCGTTCACTTATTGAGTACCACTTGTTCACTGGAAAAATACATTAAAAATAATCATAGGCAAAAATAATTGACAGAAAAGGATTTAAATAACCTTTATTTACCTTTAAATAGTAACATCAAATCATTCTTTCTTTAATTTCAGTATATGACTCTCAACCCCTCAACCAAGAGGAAGAGCTCTCGATCACCTGACAGAAAGCCTTGTAAGAAATCCAAAGCTGATGGATCATCCCTGGGCCAGCCACTGAGCCCTACTCTGTGGTGCCACGTGCATTTGGAGAAATCCATCATTGGCTCTCCGCTGAAGGTGAAAAACTCTAAGAACTCAAAATGTCCTAAAGAGGAGCTGGAAGAGGTGATGAAAATTGTGTCACCTGCTAAACTTGGTTCTAACTTTCACATTCCAAAGAGGAGCCGACTAGGGAAGGGCAGCAACAAATCCTTGGACAAAAAGCAAAGAGGCAAAAGGGTTCTGAACGGGCAGAAGTCATCAGGGAAATCAAAGTCTCCTAGGAAAGGCTTGAAGACCCCTAAGATGAAAATGAAGCAAATGACACTACTGGACATGGCTAAAGGTACCCCGAAGGTGTCCAGGGCTCCCAGGAATTCTGGGGGCACCCCTCGGTCTTCCAGCAAACCCCAGAAACACCTGCCTCCTGCAGCACTCCATCTCATTGCCTATTACAAAGAAAACAAAGACCGGGAAGACAAAAAAAGTGCTCTTTCCTGCATCATCTCCAAAACAGCTAGGTTACTGTCAAATGAGGATCGCGCCCGTCTCCCCGAGGATTTGCGAGGGTTGGTACAGAAACGCTACGAGCTTCTAGAGCACAGGAAGAAATGGGCCACCATGACAGAGGAGCAGCGAAAGGAGTACATGAAGAAGAAAAGGGAGAAGCTGAAAGAGAAACTGAAGGAGAGAGCAAAGGAGCGGAAGGAGAAGGAGATGAAGGAAAAACTGGAAAAACAGAAAAGATATGAGGACCAAGATCTTAAAGGGAAGAACTTGCCTACTTTCAAACTGGTCGATACTCCCGAAGGACTTCCTAATACGCTCTTTGGGGACGTCGCCATGGTGGTGGAGTTCCTGAGCTGTTACTCAGGGTTATTGATGCCGGATGCTCAATATCCCATTACGGCGGTTTCCCTGATGGAAGCACTTTGCGCAGAAAAGGGAGGCTTCCTTTATTTGAACCGAGTACTGGTCATTCTCTTGCAGACCCTGCTGCAGGATGAAATTGCCGAAGATTATGCTGAGCTGGGCATGAAGCTTTCTGAAATACCGCTTACTTTGCATTCTGCTTCCGAGTTGGTTCGCCTATGCCTACGCAAGTCAGATGTGCAAGAGGAAAGTGAGGTCTCGGATAATGTAGATGAAAGCAAGGATTCGGCAGCTTTTGAGGATAATGAAGTACAGGATGAGTTTTTGGAGAAACTGGAGACATCGGAGTTCTTTGAGTTGACTCCCGAAGAGAAATTGCGGATACTTGGAGCGCTGTGCCACCGGATCCTAATGACGTACTCGGTGCAGGACCACGTGGAGGCCAAGCAGCAGACGTCAGCTGAGCTGTGGAAGGAGCGCCTAGCTATCTTGAAGGAAGAAAACGACAAGAAGAGAGCAGAAAAACAGAAGCGAAAAGAAATGGTGGCCAAGAACAAGGAGAACGGGAAAGATGAGAATATGATGGGAAGAAATGAAAAGAAAAAAAATGAGATGATGAAAATAGAGCACCGGGTGGAAATAGAAGCTGATGATATGATCAGTGCTGTGAAGAGCAGGCGCCTTCTTGCCATCCAAGCCAAGAAAGAGAGGGAGCAACAAGAAATACAAATGAGAGGTAAGAAAAATACCAGGAGAGCAGAGCGTTTGTGTGTTGTGGAGTAGAGGGGAATAAGTTAATGGCAAAATTGACAGCCTATTCTCAAAAGCGTTACCGGCTTTTAAGGGGTTTGCTCACTGGAAAGGTGTAATTCAGCTGCTGTGGTTCCTATGGCAGCTCAAAATCTGGAATGTTAAGAAAAAGCAATAACTGCTTCTACATTTTTATCTGTGGGTATCTTTTGTTCAGTACCTTCCTAATTCTGTCAGGCCCAGGAAGGCTGCAGAACAGAAAATGTTTTGGGGACAGAAAACAACAACAAAAAAAATTTGAGTACGTCCAAACGTCTTCTGGCTCTTACGTACAGAGGAGATCTTTCCTGCCTAAAAGCTAGATCCTGCTGTGGCCGTGCACGTTGTCAGGTCGATGCTGGTAGCCCTTCTCCCAGATAAGGACTTAGGCAGCAAATTTCAGTTTACAGTTTCTCTCTTTAAAGAATTAGTTATAGAGTCATATAAATACAAACTGCCCCCTCAAACCTCTATAAATCACAAGCTGCAGTACCAAGCTTTGTGTGCTTCTCTGTAGGTAGTGCTTTTTGCTAGGGAGTGTGGAATATGAAGAGCAAAATACTTCGGAATTACGCTTCAGGGATTTTTTTGGTTGTAAATGTGGGTACTGGGCAGATGGAAGCGGACAGCATAGCTCATCCAGGTTGTTATTTCCCTTCTGAAACAGTTGAGGGCCAAGCGTCCCGCGTGGAGCCTGGCTTAGGTGCCTTAGCTGGAATCTGGGAGTATCTGGTCTAGGAGACCACGGATAGGTAAATAACGTGGAATACCCTGCGGCTCCAAAGGAGTATGCCTCCCACGGAACGTAAACAGACCTTTCAGATCTTCTGTTAAGAATTGCAAGTCTCAGAATTATCAATAAACTGCTGAAGCTCTGGAGTGCTGTCCTGCTTCTCCAGAAAAGCAAAATACCAAATATCTAATGTGCTGTAGCTGAATGGCGTCTTGGCCCCAGTTCTTGTAGTGTTCCAGTTGTTTGACACTAAGTTCACGTTCATGATAAGATTTTACTGCAAAATTAAATACGGCTTGGACACTACTCCTTGGGATACTACTTGATCGTTTGTACTAGTTTCATATATATATATATATATATGAAGAAAAGCAATATTACATTGATGGAGATAAGAGCCATTTGGCTTGCGTGCTGAGGAAGTTTAATTCATTCTTTTGGACTCCACAAGGAAAACTAGGTCTCTCTGGCAGGGAAGGAAGGATTAAGCCTTCCATTAAGATTTGAGTTCATACTGCTTCCTTTCCACATTTCAGGCATCCAGGGCTGCTTTTACCTGTTAAGCAGTTGCTACCAGGCATAAAGGTACCCTCCAAGTACCAAAGCTGTTGGTTAATGTTGGTGGTGCAGTACTTAGCTGCAAGCTCACCCTGCAGCCCAGATCCGGTCGGGACTTCAGACTGGGGGGCTGGTGTGGTGTCAGGATGTGAAAAATAGTTCTGGATAACCGCAATGAGAACTGCATCAGTGTGCTCCTACCATCACACAGGCTTTCTGTGGGCTTTTTCAGCGTACTGGCTTTCACACCACTTCAGCTGCATTTGCTTTTAATAATGTTGGTGTCTCTGGGGGAAGTGAAAGAGTAGTTGCTGACAAAACACCTATTGTGCAGTGGCTCAATATTCATATATATAAGGCGCTGGACAATAGGTGTTTTGTCAGCAACTACTTTTACATATACATAGATGCATATCTCGCCGTCAGAGGTTTCTTTTTCACCATTCTGGTAGCATCTGTAACACTGGGAGCACCTAACCTCTTTCAGGTTAAACCGGATTGTGGCCAGTGCTACCGAGCTAATCTCAGCTCAAAAAAGAACCCAGTGTAAGAAGGCATAAAGGTATTTTTTGTTCGTTCTTGACTTCAAAAGAAGTCAGTACAGAACTTCTGTTGAGATAACATGATTAATATCTGTATTTTCTTGATAGTAAAAGTCAAGTCGCTTCCATTTCCATGTCACTGTAGCACTTACTGATTGTTCTTTGCCTTATCCCTCCACGAAGCAATAGCTCCCGTACGGTCTGTTGGAGGAGAATGGGGAGCTGGAAGCTTATACAGCTAACGAAGCCTGCTAGAGAGGAAAGTACCAACTGAGGCTAGCTGGCCATCACGACCGAAAATGAGATGTGGGGAGGAACCCGTTAGTTTGGTGTCTTTGTTCTCGTTTTGTTTGAACAGTTTTGGTGTAAGAGTAAATTTAAGTTTCTGGTTTTTCCTTGCCTCTTCCTTGCTCTGGCACTTGCTCATGTCTGCCCATGATATCCCATGTTGTAAGTGAAGAGTTTGCTGGCAGTATGGGTTGTTTTGGTTGGAGTCTTGGCTCTTGAGGAGAGGGTATGGAGGGGGAGGGAAGCGTACCTTGTGCTAGCATCAGACGGCGGCAACAAGTCTTGAGAAGGTGTCAAGGAGAGAAATCCTGGGGGAATCGTATCGCCTCTGTCTCCTAGTGGAAGGTGAGAACAATTCTTCCTGTAGTATGGGCCTCCTGATGTGGTTTGCGAGACTCCGATTTAGGTGACGCGAGGTTTTTGGCACTGTGAGAGTGGCTGTTGCTGCTTGTTCTGGTGTCAGTACTTTGACACAGGGAGAGGACATAAGGTTTCAGGAGGAGCTAATGTTTACAGACATACGAGTTGTGCAGCTGCTTGTGTCTGGCACGTATGGATTACCAGGACAGTTCTGCCATGCTGCAATTACTGTAAGTTGGTGTATTGCTGGGATACGGTTCTATAAAAGCTGATACATCGAGTTGGTGTAACAAATGCAAGGGTATGTTTTTCAGCATGTCTCCTCTAATCAGTCAGGGTTGATTACATTGGCAGGACTTCAGAGATTTAACTGGGTATTTACTCATCAGCTGTTATCAAACCCGTCTTGATACAGAAAATGGCCGCAACAGACCGAGCAGGTAGCAGCCCTGGGAAAAGTCCTAGCAAGCAGTTGCGACGGCAGCCAGCTTACGATCTCTATATGCTCGCTTTTACCTGCCCCGCTCCACCTCACCCCTTCCATGTGGTCTTATTCCATCTGCTTCAAACCTTCCTTTGTGAAGCAAATAGATAAGTCTTCATTTCTTCATCCTTTTTGTTTTTTTCCTCAAGTTTTCTCAGGACACAGAGGAATGTTGCCCATAGGCTTTTGTGCAAGTCGTGATGGGGTGATGGTTTTGTTAGACTGAGATCAGGCTCTGAAGAGCCGGTGTGACTCAATTTGATGTTTTGTTCCTTTTTGTTCAGGCTGTTCTTGGTGAAAGTACACCTGTGCTTCAGAGACGGGCAAAAGTGTAGAAAGACTCTTGACCCATCATGAGAAGCACAAATCCCGTTGGCCTTAATGATTTGTCTCTTGGCAGAAGCTGCCTTGCTTCTTGCTTCTTACCTGGAGATGTGAAATGATGTGTTTTGTTCTGCCAAGGAGCCTGTGATGCCAGGATTTAGGCCACTTCATATTTTTCTTTCCCCTTTTTTTTTGTCGACAGCCGTGGATATTGAGAGCTACTGAAATTCCAATACTTCTGTCATGAGTGGGAAACCTGAGGTTTCTATTTTAGTGCTCTTCCACATCATAGCATAGACGGGAAAGCATGAGGGGTTAGGAGATAGGACTTGGTCGCTGTTTGTCCCGATCCAATGTCGGGGGAGGTTTCGATACGATCCCAAGGACGAGATTAAGACGCTGGAATCGGTCAAATGTCATACAACCTTTTACTTTTATTCGAGGGGAGAAGAGAACGGAGGGAGGAGGGAGGGCAAGGGAGGAGGGGAAAAGAATGTGTTCCCCGCGGGGGCGCCGGTCTGCTGGGAAAGCAAGGGCGGGGGGGGGGGGGAGGCTTGAGGGTGCAAGAACAGAAGGAGTGGTCTCTCACGCGCCGCCGCTGCCGCCCCGCCGAGGGGCACGTGTGCTCCTTATATAGGGGCTCACGCACGCGCGGGTCACAAATGCGTACGTGCGGTTTGCCACGGATGTGCTGTCCCCGCCTCTGCTCTTTTCGCGCCTTTTTGTCCCCGCCTCGGCTCTTTTCGCGCCTTTAGTCTGTGCGCAGGCGCACGAGGTTGTTTTTCTTAAAGCTGTGGAGAAGGTGGTCTTTTCGAAGCGCGACGCTGGATGGCGCTACGGCGGCAATGTCGAGACAAAGACCACATTTTTCTATCGGTCCTTTACACTGTTGTAAAACAGTTGTGCCTGGAAGAGGCCTCTTGCGCCAGACGTGGTCTTTCGGTAGGTGAGGTGGTGGGGAGAGCGTTCCCCATAGCTGCAGTTGTAGAAATGCAGGTGTCCATTAGCCGCGCTGACCTCTGTGGCGTCACGGCTGGACCGCTCCCAACACTTGAGCTGGCCAGAGCAGGAGTCCTGGTCGTATATTGTGCTGTAGCTAAAGGTCTTTGACCCTGTTGTTATATGGGATTCAGTGGATGCCATTTTGATCTAGAATGAGAAATAATAAGGAGGACTAATTCCTCCGGAAAATTTTTATCCAGACTTTCCTCTTTCCTCAGCCCAGTTCGTCCTCATGCCTTGACTTCTTAATAATTCTTGAGTTTTCTCTAGAATGGTGGGTGGAAAGGAGGACGAAGGGTGGATGGCTGTGCTGAAAGAATATCAACCAAGGTCCCCAATTCCCCCCACCCACCCATGGTGGAGTAAAATAAAAGAGAATACTGATGTCTGGATACAATAAAAGCAAGGTAATTCTTCTCTGTGCTAATTCCAACAGTGAGGATGGAGAAAGAAGCAGAGGAAGAAAGAATCCGGAAGCATAAAGCTGCAGCTGAGAAAACTTTCCAGGATGGAATTGCCAAAGCGAAGCTGGTGATGCGCAGGACCCCAATTGGCACCGATCGTAATCATAACAGGTAGGAAAGGCAACGATCCCGAGCTGCCAGCTCTCCCCTCTGAGAGGCGCTTTATCAGATAGCCGCCCCTGAGAAGTGATGGATATGGAGGGTGTTGAGAGGACTCCCTGTGTCCTGAACTGTGGAGCAGAGCAGAATTTTTTTGTGTATGTGAAGTGTAACGGCCCTGGCTGGTTTACGTGGCCGGCTTTCTGAGGCCGTCCCGTGGAGGTCAGGATCCGCTAGCCAGTGGAGCTTCAAGTGCTTGCGTGAGTGCTCGAGCCTAATTACCATCTTCTCTTTGTCATGTTTGTTCCACAGGAATGCTCTTAGAATGGATTCTAATAAAAGCTTTCCATGTTTCTCAACTGTGCTAATACAAAGACACACGTGCATTCAGTTTTTATTGAGTCGAGCACACAGGTGCTTCTCCCCTCTGTGCAAATACAGGCGGATGTCTGTAACTGGCCGGAAGAGGAGACAGGTACCCGTTAACATGTCTGTTTCCTACAGGTATTGGCTGTTTTCGGATGAGGTTCCTGGCTTGTTCATTGAGAAAGGCTGGGTACATGACAGCATAGACTACAGATTCATCCTTCCCCATCAGAAAAAAGAAGATTTTAAGAAGGACTACAGCCCAGGAGGTATGGTCAGCCTGCTGCTCTGCGGGTATTCCCTTTGTTGCCGTCCCACTGTTAGAATGGATTTGGGACTGTCAAGAGAGAACTGCCTAGTCTGAGTGTTTTCATGGGGATACTCTGATTTAAGCCGCCTTTAAACTCTAGAAGCCGGCGCATGGGAGAGTCTGACGCTCACAATGATCTCCTTCCTGCTGCTGCAGGTCTTGAGCCTGCCTGCGGTGTACCGCATAAGGACCTCGGGATACAATCCCCTCTCTCTTAAAAGTAGTGAGATTGATATCAGTTGTGGACTAATCCCTCTGGTTTACTCTGAACCTGCTGAGTTGCAGTGTGCCAGACTTCTTGGACAAGTAGTTGTGTGCGGCAGAGAGTGAGGGTGTCCATCCCAATGCTAACGTTCCACCGGTGGCGAGACTCCCAGATTAACCTGTGAAATAGTATCAAGCCGGTCGATCTTCTAGATACCTATAGCTTTGCTGATTGAGGCCATTTTGGCAAACAGCCCTCTTGCGCATGTCCTCTCAGCCTGCTGTTCCCCTGGTGCTGAGCGTGCAGGTGAGGTGCAACAACTGGCTGAAGTTCTAGTGCTTCCGCTGTAATTGTGCCTGGCTGACTTGGAGCCTGGGTGGGGGAGCCTGGCAGGCAGGACTTGGGCACGCACAAAGATCAATCTGTGGGAAGGGAAACTTAACGCTTCTATGTGGAAATAGTTGTTGGTGCAGAGGAGCATGCTATAATCTGACTCCAGTTGCAGTGTCAGTCTGATGGTTTCTTGCTTTTGAAGCGTCGTAGGCTGACGTCGAGTCCATCTACAGCAACGCTGCATACGAGGGGCTGTACTGAGTTAAATCAGAGAGCCCTCACCTGGTGGCGTTCTGTCTTAGGCAAGGGGCAGAGTAGACGTCTGTAGAAGAACGGAAGAGGGCAAACCTGCAGTGGGATACTTCCTCCAGCACGTAACTTCCCAGCCATCTGCGTCGTGGTGACGTGTTGAGCTGGAGCTGGTATCCTTCAGTGGCCCTTGATGGGTGTATTTTCTTCGGTGCGCTTTTTTGAACGTTGACCAGCCGTGTTCCTGTACGCCAGCTTGTTCCAGCTGTATTCATTTCTCGGCTCCTGCCTGTGTGTTTACCCAGCTAGCGTGCAAGATTTCAGCACGTTCCTTTTGAAACTTAACAAGCGAAGGTTTAAATAAGCAAAGGTTTAAATTCATGTCAGACTGTTGTCTAAGATGCTCAGAAATACAAATACGTCCTATTTATAGCTCATTCAGTTCTAAAAGTACCTTGTCAGCATATAGCTAAAAAGTGAAACTAGTTTTATGTATTTGAAATAGTAGGAATGGTTTTCTTAATTTTATGTGTGTGCTTTATGATGCAGTAATTTCTTTAAAAATCCGTTATCTTTGTTTGTATTTCTGTAAATGCATATACCGTGAGCTTTAGCAAACTAATGCTGGATTAGTGTTCCCTGACAAACGTATTGCTGGCCTAGATGCCGAATATAAACACTTAGCTGGAGATAGGTTAGTTTTTGCAAGATAAAAATACTCGCTGAGGAGGAAGATGAACGCGAATCCACTCGAGCTTGTGCTTTTCTTTTTCAGACAAGCGGAAGTAGGCGCGCAGCCGCCGACGGCAGAGTGAGCAAGCTGCACCGGTCTGTGCATGCCGCAGACCTTCCCGCAGAGACCACGGCACCCAAGCAGGGACAGAACTTATGGTAACGCGTGCTTTTGTAGCTGCAGAGTGCTCGGAGGTCAAGGAAACTAGACAGATTTCTTTTGCTAGACGCTAATATATACCTAGTACTCTTTCAGTACTTCACAGTTGGATTAGTTGAGCAGCTCTCCAGGCCTCTGTTACTGATATCGTTACTAGTAGTGAATGGCTAGTAGGGCAGCCAGTCCAAGAGCCAGTGGAACCATTAAAATCAACCCAATCAATCAGACTTAAAGCCGGTATAAATTAAGCTGGTAAAATGCTACTTTGATATATTGCTTTTTAAATCTTTTATACTCAGAAGAATTGTTAATTTAAAAGAATTGCTGTGTGCTTTTTTCAGTATTGGTAAGCATTACTTAAAAAAAAAAAAAAAAAAAAAGAGGGGAGCAGTGACCTAGCTCGGTGTGTCTAGGTTTTCTTTCATGGTTCATCTCAGCAGACCCGAGTTGTGGCCCATGGAGTCCTTGAGCACAGGACGTTCAAGTCTTCGCTGAGATCTTTGGAGACAGGCCTGTGTCCTGCCTGTTCTTGCAGTACGTGAGATGTGCAGAGCCACCCCCCAGCTCCTTGTCAGCGTCTTCTTCCTAGGCTTCACAGCAGGCTGTGGTGGTGTCCATGTGTTCTCCTATAGCACCATGTCACGGAATTGATTTTTGTTGCTACTGATAATGATAGCTTAGCAAAATTATTCTTCCATGTTGACAGCCTGTTATCCCTTTAATGCTTCCCAATGCCAAGCCACCAACGTGTCTTCTAAGTGAATCAAATCTCAACTCTCTACCTTTGAGCGTGTTTGATTGTGACTTGCTCCAGTAATTGGCCCTACCAATGTCTCTTATCTTGAAAGAAAATCTCCTATGTCAGCTGTCGCCCTGTGTGGTGAGGAGTGATCAGCAGTGTCCCTGTGCCAGAAAATACCAGCTACAGCTTTGCCTACTGCACTGCCTGTGAGGGACTCTGCATTTCTTAGATAACCCTGAGAAGTAACTGTCACAAAGTACTTGCTCCTGCAGCTCCCCTCTTAGCAGTGGCTCTTCCCCAGAGTTCTCCACTGCTGACCCACAAAGTGGGGTTACTTGGTCTTTGATAAATATCCCCAGTCAGGAGCTTAGCTCCAAAGCGTAGCTGCACTGCTGCAAGTCAGAACGACTTTACTAAAGATGTTCCTGCTTCCCCGCCAGGCACTGTCAGAGACCGAAATCTGTGGATGTCTTGACTCATCTAAACCATCAACACTGGGTGCTGACTCTTTGTATTGCTCTACCCCTTCTCTTTCATTGCTAGCGAGTGATAGGAGACAGCAGAGTTTCCTCCGCGTGCCTTCTCTCTGTCCGACGTCGCCATGACAAATCTCCACCCCTGTCTCCGTCTAGTCCTTTGCACATCTTGTCACATAGCCAGAATTCAAGCAGTTGGGCTTTCCTAGGGAATGGGTGCGAAACAGGAGGTCATAGAGGACAGTGCGATCCACAGGGAAGTCCTCTCTGCTCTTTCTAACTGCCTCTTCTAATACGTGATCTTCATTTAGCAGAGGCGGCAAGATGTGTTCCAGTAGAAAGGCAAATTATATAAGGAAAACAGTAGCTTAAATTAATAGTGCATATTGCTATAAAGGGAAGACAACATAGAGCCAAATCGGACGAGTTAAGTAGCACTGAATCCCTGCAACTTGTCGTTCCAGGCCGAGCTTGGAAAAGCGTAGTATTTGTTGTTACAGCGTTGAATTGCTCAGTCAGGGTGGCAGCGCTCAATGCCACGCTGAGAGAGGAGAGCGGTTACCGAGGTAGGGGTGCTCCGCAGAGCAGACAGCCCAGAAGCAGCTCGTGGAACCAGGTGCTGTACGCTCTTGGGTCTGAATGATATTCTGTTACTAAGAGCTGCTTTGTACAAAGTGACCGTAGTATGCGGTATTCTCCTTTTTTAAAAAAAGAGACCAACAAAATAATTAAGAAGCTTGTTTAAAAAAAGGAGAAAAAAAAAAAGCTTAAAATGGCAGCCAAAAGGCTAAAATGCTTTCAAAGCTATTGTCTTAAAGTTTCCATGCTAGATGGTGAAAGCAAGTGCTGCCTCTTACCTTTGAAAAAAAGGTTTGAGGAAACTTGGAAACAAAACAGCAGCGATAACAAAACGTTCTCAGTATGGTTCACATTGGGATAAGGAAGCTATTAAAAGTAAGAAGGCCTACTTAAAAAAAAAAAAAAAAAGGTAAGGCGGCCTACTTAAAAACTGTGGTTGAGCCTAAATGAAGGAAATAAAAAGGATGATAAACCGAAATACAGACTAAAGGCGAAACAATTTTTTTTTTTTTTTTTTTCCTTGGGGAACAATCTTGCTTCACAAGATCTGTTGTTCCAGGGCCTGACAAGAGGGAAGCTCTTCTCATGAGTGAATAATTGGCTAAGAAATATGAAACAAATTACAGAAATACTCTTAATTTGTATGTTCAGCGGGGAGAGAATGGGGAAGTCTCCTAAAGAAAAGGATTTTCTTTTGATACAGGAAAAAAAGGGATCAGGAAATTAAACTAGCAAATGGCAGCTTTGAAAGAGAGAGGGAAGTACTCATGCAGCTGATGTATGCAGCTCGCTGCTACCAGCTGCTCTGGATTTTCAGACTTGTACCCGTTCAAAGCACCAGTTGGACAAATCGCTGAAAGAGGAGTTCATTGAGGAGCATTAAGCACAAAGGTTCTTGTCCTGGCACACAAGGAAGTCCTCAAACCAGCAGATGCTAAAATCTGGAGGGGCAGGTCGAAGAAATACCACTGCGTGCCTGCGCTGCCCTTTTGCCGCTCAGAAATAAGATACTGAGCTGGGTGGGATTTTTGGTTTTTTTGGGGTTTTTTTTGCCTGGCTCTTATTCCAGTGTCTTTGATTTCTGTCCTTTTTGGTACTTGCGAGGAAAGACTGCTAACAACCACAGCACTTGCTGATTTTTTTACTGAGAGTGTCATGCCTGTGTGCGCTGTTCTGCCAGGCAGGTTGGCAGTGTCAGGATGGCGAGGTAGAGCAATGCAAATGGAAGATCTGAGCCAGATGGAGGCCTTCATGCCCTTAAAGCGAGCAGGGGGCCCAATGGCAGCTTTTCAAAGAAAATGTAACCGCTTCTAACTTAGCATTCTTCCGTGCTGTCTGCGTGACTTTCTCCTAGCTGACAGGGCCACCTAAAGCCATTTCTGCAGATAAGCAGTAAGCTTCCTCAGCCGAAAGGCTTTTCTTTAAAGCTCTAGAACGCACAGAGCCTGTTTGCTAAGTACCTGTCTGAGAGCTGTTATTTCAGGGGACAGCCAGCAACTAGAGCTTCCCTCTGAGGAAATCCATATTCCTATTTCTATATTTTCCTCTGTGGCCGTTGCCATTGATCTCTCCAATCTCAAGGACTCCCATAAGCATAGATGGTTAGGGAAGAGTCTCCTCCTTGGCTGCTTTTTGTGCCTTGTCCTTGCACACCCTGGGAAGCCCTGAGAGCACACGGAAGTCCTTGGATATCTGCACCTCCCGTTGTCTGGATACAAGGATTTGTTAGCTATAACTCATAACGTTAGCACGTGGTGCATAGGAAGTTTCACTTCTTTGTGTTCTGCTTTAACTCCTGCCATCTGTCTCTTTTTTTCTTTTTCCTAGTAGTACATCTAACATGGGATTGAGAGTAGCCCCACAGCGCACATAGAGCATCTTCAGCTTCACCCTTTTATACTCTAGAGCGATGAGACTTTGACACGAACAGCAAATTAACTCTGTGAATGGTTGTGTTTCACAGTCCTGCCCCTTTCCCCCTTCAGGATGGGAGCTGGTGGGGCATTGTTAAGGGAGAAATAAACAGATTCCCTACTTCTGCCAAGAGCTACAGAAACAGCATCTCATGGAAGTGGTTTCTGCTTTCGGTACTTTGTCCCCAAAAAGAAGAGGACCCGGTGTTCTGTCCTAAAAGTGCAGAGGCTGAACCACTGTTCTCATTCAGAACCATAAATGCTCGGTTACTTCGGTCTCCTCCAGACAGATGGACCAGCCCCATTTCTAACATTGTGCACCACTTTCACTGATGTTGATGCTTACTAAAAAAATCTCCCCGTTTAAAGCTTCTGGGCACACAGTCCCTGAAAAAGTCTTTTTGTCCGTACCTTAGTGCTGTGTGAGCTGTGTACATGATGGTCTTTCCCGCAAGAACCACGGGTTAATCGCAGCCTTTGCGGTGTGTTAGTATGCAGGAGACTTCTTGCTCATCCTGGTCAGAAAGCAGTTGAATTTTGGAAACAGTGGCATCTCTGCAGAGTAACTCCCGTTGTTCTTCATCTATTAGGAATACACCATGATATGGCGGGTCCCCTCAGCAGACAATTTGAGTTAACCATGAGTGGGTGCTGACAGACTCCATTCTCACGCCTATATTCTACAGATGGAGTTCCCCTGTTTCCACCAACCCTCCAGAGCAGGTACTGATCCTGGGCTCCTCTAGATGTTGTCCTCTTGATTTCTTCATTCCCTAGCCTGCAGTCCAGGTTTTATACCTTTCTCTGTCCCTTGCAGCCTGTAGCCTGAGAACAGGTAGGAATATGCAGCCTGAGTGAATACTGAAAGCTCCTTTTGACTTGCTGCTTGTGCCATTTGTCCCTTCTGGTTTGATTGCTGACCTGTCTGCTGGCTTGTGCTGCCAGAAATGTAAGAAAAGAATTTAGGCTGTTATTTAGGGATGCGGGAAGCCCTTGCCCCAGTCAGGATTTCCCCCTTTCCAATCAGTTTGAAGACCTCCATCTGGTCTTGACTCTCCCAAAGGCATCTTTCCCATCACTCTGGATTGTTATTAAGCTCTGTCAGGCCATGTGAAGGGCACCAATTGCCTTCCCCTCCCTCTTATCAAGACCCACAAGCTCATACCCCTGTTGCCTCTCCCATTTAAAATGCCAGCTCTGTCTTATCATGTCCGTGCTCCCAGCCTCGTGCTGGGTGAGCCCTAGTTGGAGGTGCAGGTGGTTCCTTCAGGTAGTAGGGAGTGCGTGGAGCTAGGCTGAGAAGCAGGAGCTCTGGCTGCACAGAGCAGCAAGGTGTCACTAATCAAACTCACACAGGTACCTCTTTGATACGTTTATAATTTGCACATTTTAGTTCAAGCTGATGTAGAACGGTTCCCTCTCCCAGAAATCCCAGTTCTTACTCTCAGGGCAAACTGGGAAGACTCAAGTACCTGTTGCAGATGTTCTCCCTTCCCTGTCAGGAACAAGGTTGTGCCAGGGCTTATCGCTGGCTTTCTTAAGAGGATGATACCTGCTTTCTCACGCTGGCCAGCAGCCTGTGTTGTCTTTCCCCAGACTACGTAACACTGGAGAATCCAAGCGCCATATGCTGTTTCCAGTGCCCTTCCATTTTTACAGTAAGACAAAACTGTGCGGGGAATTCCCTCCTTAAATTTGCAGCCATGGGGGAAAGCTGAGAAAGCTCGGGCGTGGTCTTCTCAGATATTTTTTTTTCCAACTGGATCCCGTGGTGTGTCGCCAGCAGTGAGTGATGTTTCCTCGTGACTTAGGCAACCTTCTCAGCATGCCTGAGAAAGAGTCCTCTGCTGGGTATCTGCAGGGCAGCTGTTGTGAAGCTTGGTTTACGCCATTCCCATATTGTGATAGATTCTTCATACTGAAATACGGCTTAGGACCAATCCCAAGATTTGCCCCAAGGGTTTGGAAGCAATTTGATACCAAATAGAGAATTTTCTCTTTATTTAGCAGAAGTCAGTAGACTCGGAAGTGCTAGTCCTTGCAGTGGTCGGTCTGTAGACCTTCCAGTGAACGTAGGAGTGCTAATTAGTCACTGTCAGTGGCGTCTATAAGAAAAAGACACAAGTTATATTGTTACAGGTTTGTGTGAATGCCTGTTGGATCCCATGGCCAGCCCTTAATGGCTACTGCTTTTGAAGCGCCTGTGCCAGGCTCTAGCGGGTGACAGACACCTGGGGCTGCTCTGTCCTGTTCTCGCAGGGAGGGGGTGCAGGGGATAGCGGTGGCCCAAAGACTTGATCTCGGTGTGCCAAGTGGGGATGCTCTGCAGGGTTGGAGTATACTGAAGCAGGTGACTGGCAAGAAACTGGTTTTCTTCCATTTTTAAACGATCAAGCCTATGTTTTATTAATTAATTTACTAACTGAATGCAAATTGTGAGGCCATTCCCCTAATATGAGCATACTAGAACTCTGAAATATTTTCTTTTCAGATATGATATTTAGTAAGTATTTCTGCCAGAAAAATAAGCATTGCGGATACTGTTATTCCAAGAGGAGCCAGAACAGCATCTTTCTCTAGTTGTTGCTTGGCTCATCTGAGCTTGTGCCCAAGAAGAAAAATTAGATCTGGAGTCTTCTCTGTGGCTGGTAAGGATCACACAGTGGTCCTTTGCAGTTGTTTCCATATAAGGTTGATTTTGCTATTCCCTCACTTCCCTCTTCTAAGGAGCAATCCTCTTCCAGAAGATAGGTAATGAGTCTTATTTGCTGTAAATGAGCTCTGAAGCGCAGGTTGAATCCCTGTCCCCATCAGGTGAGGAGGCTCCATGGCATCCTAGAATAGAGCTGAGGGGGAAAAAAACAGGAAAAGAGCAGAATTTCAGGCTGTCTTAAAGCTAGTTTAAACCTACAACCCAGCTTTAAAACTGGATTGTACTCTGGAATTGCAGAGCGAATGTCTCGTGTAGAGAACTCTGCAAACGTTTTCCCCTCTTCGGTTCAGCTAACTGCTGATTACCATTGCTGTCCTGAAGGGTTTTCTGAGCAGAAAGGTTTAAAGCTAATGAATATGGTTTTCACGTGCTGCATTTGAGCTTTCAAGTTAAGGCGAGCTTCTTAGGAAGGAGGACTTCTGCGCTTGCAGAGGGCATCACAGTCACAAATCTACCTCATCAGCAGCTGTGCTGTAAGCTGGGACATACCCTTTGTTAATCCAGGGACTTCTTGGGTTAATGAAAGAAGCCGAGGGCTCTTCAGAAAGAATGATTAAATTGCCATGCTATGCGGCGCGTAGCATGTTAATCTTTTCTAGTGGATCTAAAATGACATTCGTATTACTTAAACTGACTGCAACTTGGTGAATCCAGTCCCTGGGGTAGATGACTAAATTCAAATGCCAATGTTTTAATAAACTCAATGGGGAAAAATCTATAAATCAGTTCTGTGTTTATTTTGTTTTTATTTTTCTTACCCTGGAATTGGCTCCATTTGGGGACCTTGAAACGAGGCCAGTCTGAGTCAGAATGCTTATGCCAGCACTACTGGAAGTGTTTCACCTTGCTCCATGGGGTTGGGATATCGGTTACTTGTCATCCCTGCCTACTAATACTTGTGAACTAGTTAGAAGAAGGAATTGTCTTGCCACAGAGATACGTCAGCTGATGTTGGTGCATGTTATATCTTTCAGGTTTCTCTGTGACAGTCAGAAGGATTTGGATGAGCTGCTAGATTGCCTGCACCCACAAGGAGTGAGGGAGAGCCAGCTAAAGGAGCGTTTGGAAAAAAGGTGAGCCTGCTCTTTTTTTTTCTTCTTTTTTTTTTTCCCCACTCCTGTATGTGCCTTCTCAAAGTCAAAGCGTATCCTCGTCACAGCAAGCCCGTCCATTCCCGGGGCAGCATTCTGCGCTTTGCTTTGATCGCGAGGGGAGGGTATTGAGGACGAGAAATTGCTGGTTTTCTTGGGCAGTAACTGCAGGTTCCTGGTAAGTAATGATCGGAACTGTGAAGAGGCTCTGTCAATCTTTAAATTGCTCCTTGCAACTGGAAACACAGGCAGTGCTGTTTCACTCGCAGAGCCAGAACTACCGTGTGCTTTCAGGCGTCTTTCAAAGAACATCCTGCACTGGTGGAGCGTGTAGATAACGGCGGACACCGTTGTTGCCCCAGTGCCCACGCAGCTCGCAGGGCTGCAGCCTGCATGTATTCAAAGGTTGGGTTTGATTTTCCAGGTATCAGGACATCACGCATTCTATCCATTTGGCTCGGAAACAGAACTTGGGCCTCAAATCCTGTGATGGCAACCAGGAACTGCTGAACTACCTCCGAAGTGATCTAATTGAGGTCGCAACTCGGCTGCAAAAAGGAGGCCTGGGATATGTTGATGTGACACCAGAATACGAAGCAAAAGTGAGTGAACAGGCAAGATAGTACCAAGACAAGCGTGAGCTGATACTTTCTGTGGAAGGTCTTGAGTCTTTTGTTCTCCTCAGACAAGAGGATCAGGAAAATCGGTTTTCTCACGTGTTCTCTCTTTCTAAACTATTATTTCAAGATTACACAGCTGCTGGCTTGAGGTCGTTTTGGTGTAGGTGGGCCATAATGTTGGAGCTAGGTGTTCTGCACAGCTGTTAAATTGTCCTATTTCCTTCATCTGGTGGCGGACTTCTTTATGGAGCATTAGCAGAACTCTTTGTAGCTGATATTTAGCTACTGCGTCAAAGCCAGCATGTCTTGTTGAGACAGCAGTTTTCCATTTTGGAGGGGGTTTTTTTGGTTTTGTTTTTTTTTTTTTTCATAAATTCAGACCACTTTAGGCTTGGGGTAACGATTGTGTCCCAGTTCCAGTGCTGCTCATGGGTATGTCAGCGCAAGGAGGTTACTGTGTATTGAACTAAAGTATGATTTTTTTTTTTTTTTTTTTTTTTTAGTGCTCTGGCTAGTTCAGCCTGACTCACGTGAGCATTACTGGTGCAGAGAGTGTCGTTAGGAGGGGATAAATCTCCCTGGTGTGGGTAGAGTACACGCTCCTGTGACCAGCGCAGCTCCTCCTACTGCAGGACGGCATTGTCTGGCTTGGAATGGTTAAAGCTCAGTTTAAGCTGCGTCCTGAGTCGCTGCAGAGATTTCCCCGTGTAGATGAGACCATCAGTGTTAAGAGGAGGGGAAAAGTGAAGTCACTAAAGGAGTGGAAGAATGGCTTAGTGCTTGGTCATCGTGGATTTGGGGTTTTGGGGGGTTTGGGTGGTTTTTGTTTTGGCTTTTTTTTTTTTTTCCCCAGGCCTGATGCCTTTTTCTGAACAGTGCTATGCATGATCATCAGCTATGTATGAACTCTAGCAGAGGCAGCAGCAATACGCTGATTTCGTAACCAAGTATGGCAGATAACAACGCTGCGTTAAGTATCCCATGTATCCATTTGCAGGACAGGCCCACCTAAAACAGCACAGAGAGCAATGTCCAACTGTTACGTGATCGTATGCTCTTCCTAACAGGTATACTCACTAGAGAGCTTGAAGGATTTTGGAGAGTGTGTGATTGCACTCCAAGCTGGTGTTGTTAAGAAGTTTCTGCAAGGTTTCATGGCCCCCAAGCAGAAGAGAAGGAAACATCAAGGAGAAGACTACGTTGCCAAGGCTGAGGAGATAGATGAAGATAAGAAAATGGCAGAAGAAGCTAAGGTATTGCTCACTTCAGGGCTCTGTATTGGCCTTGTAATATAACTCTTTGAGCAGGGACGCTATATTTCATCAGGTACTAAATCCTGAGCAGCTTCTCCCCATTCCAGGTTTAGAGTGCAGTGGGTTTTTGTTGTTTATGGGGCCAGGTGTTCCCTGGTTATCTTGAAGGGTAAAGGTATTGGCAAAATGAGAATCACGCTGTGGAATCACAGTTAATTTTCTCTCTATGAGCAGGAAATGGGTCAAGTCAAATATTTGACTTCCTTCGTGCAGTTCCTCACAGAAGTTGGGTACGTTAATAAAAGCATATTGGGGAGCATTTTTAGAGTACTTAACAGGAGTTGTATCCATCAGAGAGGACTGATGGTGGCTTAATGCCTTTGATCCGTAAAGAGGAGGAGAGACATGGTGAGGCTTTGGTGACTGCAAGGGAGTTAGGTTCAGGTAAATATTGTCATATGCACCGAACACCCAAAGAAGATGCCAAACTGTGGGTTGCATGCATCATGTCTGGACATCTGGGCAAACAAGCCGTATGTGCCTGCAGTAGAAAAGTGCTGTTGTGAGGGTAAATGCATAGCCTTCCAAATCAAAGCCCAGAAGGGGTGGGGAAGAGCTGCGGAGGGTTTGGTAGGGTCCTACAGGCAGTTGAGCTGTACCGGTGTTTCATCCTAAGAGGGATACTAGTGCCCAGGGGTAGTTTGTATGGGAGCTGGGTGCGTTGGATGGGACATCAGTGACCCGTGACAAGAGTTTCCCCACCGCCCCCTTCGAAGTGCTCTGTCCTGATTGATCACTGACTTCAGCAGAAGTAGCAAGATCAGAACTGGATCGACAGAAGCATTTGAAATTCCCAACGTGAAAAAGAAATATTAGATGCTTGACTGTTGCTGGGGTGTGGGGGTTTTGGGGTTGTTTTTTGGTTTTGTTTTTTGTTTAAAGCTCCTGTCAGTGTATGCTGAACCCTTGTTTGAACGTCAGGTCTTTGCTATGCTGTGGCATTGCCGTCTTAGCAGGATATTTGGATAGGCACTAGAAATTTTCACATTCCTCAGTTGTCCTGAAGTGTTTAAACTTCGCTAACTTTGAACCTTCCAGCCTTTAGTGCAAAGGGAATAGAAGGCTACCTTAGCCTAAAAGCTGTCAGCAGAATACAGAGCTGTAAAAATCAGTTATGTCTGGGACAAAAAGGACCTGGATCATCACATTTCCTATATCTACAGCAACCCGTATCATGCCTTACTCTCGTGTGTGTTACAGCTCTAACTATAAGGGTTATACCTGTAGGGCATGCTTTAAGGGTAACATCAGATTTACTACAATATCTAAATGGATAGTAATTCGGCAGCGTGAGCTCTGTATTTGAACCCTGGTCACTTCTCTACTATTGCTAAAGCTCTATCAGATTTAAAACCCAAGCTTTTATTTGCCTGAAAATTGAGCCATTTTGATCATGGTTAGCTACTCCATTCGACCTTAGAGCATTGCTCTCTTACTTACTGACGTGGGCACGGAGCGTTGTTCGTGACAGCAAGGCCGGGCTTCTGCAGCGGGCTTCGTTCTAGCAATTGCAGAACTTTGGGCTACAGCAGCCTGGTCAGACAAAGTGCTCTGTGACTGAAGCATCCTGATTTGTACTTTCCCTGGAACAGTAGGATTTCTGAATATTGCTGGACTTGTAATCATAAGTTACTTTGATTCCCGCCCCCAGTATTGCCCGATTTGTCTACTGTGGCTGCATACTTAGCTACACAGCTCAGCCCGATAGGTGTGCGGGCACGGATTTCAATATTGCCAGTCTGAGCGTGTGGTCGTGCAGGTCTCTGTCCGGAGCACTGGCTTCTGTGTAGTGCCGCTGTCTCTGGAGCGTGTATTTACGCAGTGCCTTCTTTAGCTGGCTCGGAGTTTTCTAGACGTTTGTGGTAGTACGAGCAGCGTTCAGCTTTTTCGTTGGGTTTTTGGGTTTGTTTGGGGTTTGGGTTTGGGTTTTGTTTGGGGTTGTTTTTTTTTTTTGCCTCAGTTTATCTGGAATGAGCTTTCTTTTTGCCAAAGCAGAAAACCTTTATAGATGACCTTGAAAAAGCAGCCCAGATCTTAGATATAGTTATCCAATTAAAAAAAACTGACTGTTAGGCTTTTAAAGACAAATCCTCCTGCATTGGCCAAGATTTATGAAGTCTTTCAGAGCCAGAACTGCACTGTGAGTACATAGCAGGTAAAATACAGCATAGCCGTACTGGAAAAACACACTTAATGTACTTACAGACTACACGAGCGAAATTGCAGTCCTGCGGTATGGTTATGTCTCATTTTTCCTATGAGAAACAAGTTATGGCTTAATAGGCACCCGTTTGCTGACATAATTGTCTATACTGAGGGTTCCTGCTGGCTCAGCTACATAGCTGGAGATCGCGCTGCTGAGTGGCGAAAGGTTGCAATGTAGACCTGGCGTATGGCTGTTTCTGAAAATCAGTCTTGTGCCTCTGTGTTGATGCAAACGTTCCCATTTCCAGTGGCAGCAGCGCTCTGGACTGTCCCAGAATAGGACAGGGAATGTGTGACCTCTTTGCAGCTGGACATCGCAGCACAACTGCCTGAGCGTAGTGAAGACCACGGGTTACGCACCCCTGCTCCTTGCTGTCAGTCTTCACCTGCAGACAATACCTCAAAGAGCAGCTTCACAACCGAGCAATTACTGTTTCAGCTGCTCAGAGGGATTTCTGTCACCTTGGGATACCAGATGAGAGCCTTTCTAGCTGGAGGTTTGTCCACCTTCACCAAAGCAGGCGTTTTCTGTCACTCTGAAGTCGAAATGTAACCGAGGGCTTCTCCTTTGGTATTTCAGTTTGTTGGTTCCCCCCCCCCCGCCCCCGCTAGATTGCTCCTCTCCAGTCAGGAGGGTATTTAAGTAACTTCTTTCAGTCTCCTGTTTTGCCTAGTTGGCAGTCTGAACTCCCTTGACAATGGTACTGCTAAAATGCCATAGTCTCATGATGCTTGGGAAGCAAGGCTAAAAAATCTGTTAAATTCCACAGGCTTGGGGAGAAAAATCTAAGCAAAACTTGCCAACAGCTTTTGCAGATTTATCTTGGCCCAGCAGCTACCCAGTATGTTAACAGCAAAACCCGTGGAACAGTTACTTGGAAAATCAATTACACAGTATGTGAAGCACCTCAACAATGTTCTGCGAAGAAATAGCCCAGCGCTGTGTAATCTGCCACAGTAGGCTGTGCAGGTTTCCGTCTGTCTTGAATGTCTTGGGCTCCAGGTTCCACACGAGCAATGGCAGCAAGGATGTTGGCATTTTAGAACAGTTTGTGTGTTTTTCCAAGCATCTAATATATGCTGTGCTTCCTCAAATTCAGTGGGAGGAGAATGTGCAACTCTGCAAAAATCCTGGGTTTTGTTTGGCTCCCAAATTGCTGTCAGCTGCAGAGCTTAGATTTTCCCATCTGACGCTTCACTGTTTGTTTTTTCATTCTCCTGGGGTAGAAGAACGTTAACTCGAGTCCTATTATGTCCCTGTCACGTCTAGGCCATCACCTCATTGTTGTAAAGCAGAGGATTAACATTGGAGTTGAACATGCGGTGGCTCTGGATTACTTCTCTGTTCTGGTGCATTTCCGATTTACCACAACGTTGTTTCTAAACCTCCAGAGCCGAGTGAGATTTCGCATGCGGCTTGCTATGTGCAGACTCCAGCAGTTGCCTTGGTGCAAATCTCAGGTTTAATGCTTTCATCCTCACTTGCAGCTAATTCTGGGATTTCACATGCGCTGAGGTCATCTTGTCTCAGGAAAGCGGCTGGTTTCATAGTGGGGGCTCCAAACGCTTTGCCTGGCAAATCTGATTGTCCCTGATGTCAGGGTCCCCTCTGCCAGCAGAGCAGCTCGGAGGACCGGGAGGACCAGGCGTGTGGCGGGTCTTGGTGATGGTCCGAGTGTCTGCAGAACCCACTGGAGGGCAGCACAGGCCGCTCCCATCCACCCCGCTCCAGTGGTGTTGCCAGCTGTCGCCTGACTTTCATCCCGCATTTTACAGCGCTAGAGTTCTGCCTTTTATTTTCTTAGCCTGATGATTATTTGGGTTAGACTTTCAGAGCAAGAATTTAGCGGAGTTCACGTAGGTTGTTTCAGCCTGGCCGTGAAATGCAAAAGGGCTCTACTGTTACGAACAAACTGTCTGATCCAGTGAGGCTGGTTGTGGATAAACCACAAACAGGACTGCTGAGGCTATATAGAAGCAAAGAAATACAGAGTTGAGCTTTGGTTATTAAGGGCCCCAGCTAAAGGATATAAAAACGTCTTCAGACTGTAGCGAGCTGTGTCTGTGTGCTTCGTTGTAAGTTGTTAGGTCTGTCTGCAGGTTGCTTCAGCCATGGAGAAGTGGAAGACAGCAATCCGTGAGGCCCAGACCTTCTCCCGTATGCACGTGCTGCTCGGGATGCTGGATGCCTGTATCAAGTGGGATATGTCGGCAGAGAATGCCAGATGCAAAGTGTGTCGCAAGAAAGGTATGCATTCGTGCCCCACGCCTGCGTAAGACTCTGGAGAAATGTAGGTATTCATTCCTGCCCCACGCCTGCGTAACAGTCGGACGCTGTCACCTCTCCATGCCCTGCTTAGGCAACATGCCCTTGTAGTCTGTCACTCTGTCTTTGGCTGTATTTTGAGTTTTGAACGTCAGGATTTACAGTCAGGAGCACTGATCTCACAGAAGCGTTTGACCCTGACTCCAATAAACCATTCTTACGAAACCAGGACACAGTCTTGCAGAACATTGCAGAGCTGCTACCCCCTGGATATTTAGGGTACTTGGACACAAGTCATCAAGAAATCCTTCCGGGAACACTTGTGCCACTGTCCATTCCCTGGTTTCATTTTTGAGTTGGAATGGTCTTTGGGTCTCTGAGCCTTGTCAGTTAATCCCATTAATCCTTACAGAAGGAACAAGCAAGGAGAGGGTGGGAAGGTTATTCTTTGTAGCCGAATGGGAGAGAGCGAGGTGGGGCGATGCTCCTTGGAAGCGGGAGCGGGAGTAGAACTGCTTGATGAGCTGGAAGAAGCAAACTCTTTGCCTCTTGTGTGAGAGCAGAGAAATTAAGCTATGTGCCTTTGGCTGCTGCTCTGCTAAGGCTGGGGAGGTAACCAAACAGGTGACAAGAGGCCACCTTCTCTGTATGCACTCTAGGATGAAGGGCTTTAGAGTCTTGCAGGTGGAAGGGGAGGTCGCAGGCGTGTCGCCAGTGCCGGAGCGCTAGTATTTGTTCTGCCATAACCTCTCCTTTTGGATGGAAGCCTGGAGGAAAGAGCTTGGTAGTACATTCTGCCTCATCATGTGCTTTTTGTCTCACTTTCTATTTGCTGAAACACTAGTGGGAAATGAGGGCAGACAGACCTCTGGGGGAATGCTGGGCCGCTTTTGTTTACCAGAAGGCTATGCCATCCACCTCTTCAAAGAAATAAGGGCTGAACTGGTGCAACATCCTCCTTCACTGCGGAGCCTCAGGGATATTCCACACCAAGGCAGAAACTTGCCCTGTCTCCTGTTGAGAGGGGGTTCTAGGCAGATGTAAGAGGGGGCTCGCCTGAGACTAACAGATTACAGTTTCACAGAACTTAAGAACTGGGACGGTAGAGAAAGAGACATGCTGGCAAGCTCTCTGCACTTTCTTCTTTTTCCTCTTCAGTAAATGAAATAGCTGGCTCAGAACTGTCTCCCTGTTTCCCTGCATCAGTGAGAAGCACAGAGAGACTGGTTCTGCTGCATACTGATTTTCTTTGTAGGCTTGCTACCTGAAGTAGAAAGAAGACGCTGTGCAGGTTGACCAGGTTGAGGCTAGAATAAGAATAGCTGCATTCACTCTACTTGCTCGGCTCTTGGGCATCTCTGCAGCGAACTTCTTTTTTTTTTTTCCCTGTGTTTGGCTTGAGATTTAGCCTGGGTGGAACCTATTCGGCAGGTTTCTACCTTTGCCTCAAATGAAATCTTTTGCAGGGCGAGGGACTTTGCGTTGTTTTGTTTGTTTGTTTTTAAATGCTGCTGGTTTCCACTGCAGTGGGGGAACCGAGGAGGAAGGGTCCCTGCCATCAGAGGGTACTTTGCATCTTTCTCTTGCTTTGTCCTGACCTCCAGCACTGCAGCAGCTTCTGCTTCTCAGGTTGAGCAAGGCTGCGGCGCTCGGTTACAAGCAAGCTGCACTCTCCTAGGTGAGGATGACAAGCTGATCCTGTGTGACGAGTGTAACAAAGCCTTCCACCTGTTCTGTCTGAGACCGGCGCTCTATGAGATACCAGATGGCGAGTGGCAGTGCCCAGCGTGTCAGCCTTCCACTGCCAGGCGCAGCTCGCGGGGCAGGTGAGTGACCCTCCTGTCCTTTGCGTTGCCACCGATGCGCAGTTCTAGCCCTGCTTGCACAAGATGGCCAAACCAGCCTGGCGCAGAGCCCCTTTAAAGGGTCTGAAATAGCCCAGTTAACTCAATGGCACTGGCGCAACAGAAAAGCAGTTTTTTCAGGCTGTAACTTTAGCACACCTGTGTTGTACTGACCCACGACAACTTCAGGACTTTTAATAAATAACTTGTGTGGCAGTGAAAACATGCACAAAACATCAACCAAAATTGGACGCACTAAGGGCCGTCGTTTCCTTTGACTGAGCAACTACGCTTTTTCACGGGAGTGTAGCTGGTGACACTGAAGCTCTGTAGTCCACTGGGCTGTTACTGTTGTGTTCTTGTCGAGTTAGAGCAGACGTTATTCCAGGCTGCAGCTCAGCCCCTACTGTGCTACTAAAAATCAGGCTACAAAATGCCACTCTGATGGTTTCCTGGACCTGATAAACCTTAACAAGGCAGGAGTCCTCATAGGGCTGCAGAGGGAACACGATCTGGGGAGGAATCAAAGTTGTTCTACGCAGCAGAAATTAGTAGCTGCCTCCTGACAACAAGGGGAGGACTTGTTTTTTTTGAATTGCAAGCTGGAAGCTAAATGCATGCGAGGTATATTTTTCTGTTTACAATGTACGGCCTCTGCGGATGGTGACTGTGCTGCACCTACCTGCTTGTCAGCAAGGGGAGGTTATCAAATGGCATCTGAGGCATAAGCAGTCCACAAACAGATCCTCCCTTCCAGAGCAGCAGCACAATAAGAGGTGTGCTGGCTTGTAACGTGCAGGTGCTGCATGGCCTTAAGAGTATTACTTACTCCCTGGGCACCGTTTGAGAGTTCACTGGGCTTGTACAAAAATGACAGAGCTTCAGCGCAGCTGTTCTAGCCCGAGATCGTAGTTACTTTGATGTGGCAGAGTCACCTGCAAGCTGCTTGGCTCCTGGATGAGGGCCATCAGGCGGGGTAACACCTGTCTTGTTATCTGCTCTCTGCTCTTGTCTTCCTCGCTGAGGCAAGAAAAAAATGCTGGCCTGGGAGCACTTCCCCCCCCCCCCCCCCCCTCGAGCCCTTTTTCTTTTTTTTGCTAAAACCCCTTTTCCTCCGTGT